AATCATCTAGTATGTACTCTTTTTCATCTAGCTTTTTAACTCAGCATAATTATTTCGAGTCATTCATGTTGCATGATTCATACATGAATCAATAGTTCATTCCTTTTTATTGCTGAATAGTATTCAATTGTATGAATGTACTGCAATTTGTTTATCCATTCTCTAGTTGAGGGACATTAGGGTTATTTATAATTTTGGCGATCATGAATAATGCAGCTTTGAACATTCACTTACATGTCTTTGTGTGGATATACGTTTTCATTTTTGCTCTTGGGTAAATTCCTAGGAGTAGAACTGCTGCATCATATAGTAGGTATATGTTTAGCTTTTTAAGAAACTGTCCAACTGTTGTTCAAAATGGCTATACAGTCATGTGTCGCTTAATGGCGGGGATACCTTCCGAGAAATACGTCAGGCAATTTCGTCGTTGTGTAAACATCATAGAGTGTACTTACACAAACCTAGATGATATAGCCTACTACACACCTAGGCTATATGGTACTAATCTTCTGGGACCACCATCATATACACAGCCCACCACTGGCCGAAATGTCATTATGCGGTGCATGACTGTACCATTTTATATTCCAAACATCACTGTATAGCACCTTTAAAAGTGCCAAACATTACGAGAGTTACAACAACTCTAAGCCCCAAAGAAGGTGCATGTTCCAATGTCAGGGGACAGAGGCAGGAAGCATTTCATGCAGGAAAAGAAGATTAATACAAAAAGAGATGGTAATGTACCCCAATACAGCCACTCTAGACTATGAGTGACTTGCAGGTGTGCTGTCTTAAATTCTATCGGGAAAACATCTAAGTATAAACAATGTAAGATAAACATGTTTTGGAAGTCTAACATGGCCAAAAAAAAGGAAATCTTAAAAAGGCAGCAATAAAGCTGATGCAAGCAATCAAAATAGCAGCTCACCTGAGCATTATCTACTAGGCACTATACCAAGCTTTACAAGATTTAAATACAGCCACTTTAGTGATCATTATCTCCATTTTACAGGTGGAAAAGCAAGAGACAGAGGAGTTAAGAATGTGGCCCCAAGGTCATTTGGCTTGTCAGAGGTGGAACCAGATCTGCCTGACCCTAGACAATGCTTTTCAGGGCTACACTAATTCATTGCTCCATCTTCAGGTTTCACATGCCTTGCAGCCTGCTTGGAAGATAGCTCCCTGCAGCTGAATGATACCCCCCGCTTAAGACATACTACTCCCTCTGTTTCTAATTTTGTACTCATCAAGCAGTTTTCTGATATTTAACTGTTTTTCCAAGCCCATTCTCTACTTGGAAAAAGAGGAGCCGACCAGTCAAAAAGAATAAAGGGGATATACTTGGCAGTGATTATCTCTTAGAGTAAATTACAAGACCAGGTATTCTGGTTTTGAACATTAATTTGACCATAAATTTGGCTCACTTGACTAACCATGGAGGTACCAATATCCTTTTCTGAGGTTCATCATAATAGAGGAAAAATCACCAAGTCAGGCATGAATCCTGTACAAGCCCACAACTGCTAAACTCAACTCCATTCCTAGAATATAGCCAAGAAAACAAAACAAAACAACCCACAAACAACCAAACAAAAAACACAAGCAACCGTTAGTGTGAGAAAAAATCTGGCCCATAGAACTACTACATATATAGCTGAAACCACTCTCAGTAGCCTCCTTCCTTCTCCAGCAGAAAAAATAAAAATATATTATGCAAACTTCCCACGTTTTTGGTGTAAGGATGAAGAGCATGAAAGGACAGAATTATTAAAAAGTTAAGAAAAGATATATTACCAGTTTAAATGGAAGGGGCATACTGTTTCAGAACTAACAACTTTGGAAATACTGGACAAGAGACAGGTCTTACTGATGGATTAGAATTTCTTCCCACCATCTCCCCTTCTATATTCTACAATACCTGAGGACCTAATATTTTCAGGAAAAGCCAAAATTTAGATGTGTCTCTTAGTTTACTCCTCAAAGTTTGGCCTGGTAATTCTTCGTAGATTCATGGTCATGAGTAAGAAAAATCAGTAGATTCTTGGCTTTACACAAATCTCGCCAGTCCTTCAACACCCTAAATGTCTATAGGTTTACTGTTTTCTATAGTTGGTAGCCTACCCTCTTCTCCCAAGCTCCATTTTCTGTCTTCTAGATGACATCAGTGGCGGTGACTCTCAGAGGAAAGTATAACTGAAAGGCATGCAGTGGGAACACCAAAACACGGGAATTGATTCAAAGCTGGGAAGTAGCACTAAGAAGTGAGAATGCTCACCATGACACCTCTGTCTTTCCCATCAAGTCAGGATAGCTGAAGGCATGGTGTCTTCAGGAGAGATTTGGGTTTTGGTGAGGTCAAGGAAGTAAAAAAAGGATGGAAGATTTTTTGAAGACAGTGAACGGCAGCATTACATATAGAGTTAGGAAGCATATATTTTGTATAGCAAAAAAGGGTAATAAAGAAGGAACTACAACTGACTCATACTTCATTTTTTAAAAAATTTAACCATTGACTCAATTCTCTTTCTCTTAGCCAGTAGCTTCTTGTCTGAAAATACAGTTCAACTGCAACCCAGTACCTTTCAATAATGACGAACTGTGAATTAATAAAGTTTTAGTGGTTTGTGACTTCATCTTAATTATTCCTATACGAAGGCTGAGGGAAAAGAAGAAGGATAGACCAGTCACAGGACAATAATGGTTGGGCCAACAAATGGTAGGGATAAAAGGGAAGATAAAAAATATATGTGTATTTGCACATGTGTTACATATTAAGTCACCAGATGGGCTGGGCCCAATCATACAAAAGGGAAAAAAAGCTTTATCACAGCAAATTTGTCAAAACCTGTAGGTCTCACAAGTACCTGCCAAAAAGGATACTTTGTTTATTCTCATCATTTTGAGTTGGAGTCAACTTTGAAAAAGAACTGACAGTAAGTAATGCAAATGTCAACCTCTGGTTGTTTTTATGGTTTACTCTGAGGAGCCTACAGGGCAGCACCCACAGAGCCATTTGAAGATTATGCACTCTGATTCTGCCATAATGTTGGAAACATGCATAACTCATCAACAGTTGATATAAATATTGGCAAAATGACCCTTTTGGTACTTTAAAAAAATATTACAGAATCACATAATCTTCATCCTGAAAGCAATCACTAAGACAACCTAATCTAATCCCCTTATTTTATAGACGAGGAATTTACAGGCTAAAAGGGGGATTTAAGCAATATGCAAAACTGGAAAGAACATAAACAAAACCTCTTATTTAAAAGCAGAAAATTAAAGAGAAATCAAAGAGAATCAAATTTTTTTAAAAAGAAAAATGCCTTTTAGCTTCATTTTTTACACAGAAAATCAGAAATTATATCCTCTCTCTCTTGCAAAAGAAGGCTTACATCATGTCAAATTAAGTCTTTTCTAAAATATACACTCATTCCTTCAAGCAGACACACTACCACACTGTTCTTTCCTTTTACATTCAACTCTAAGTCCCATCACCTAACTGAAGTGTTTTCACAAAATTTCACAGAATTGCTGAAGCTCAGCAAGTTAAGCATGTTTATTAATCCTCACCCCAATGTACCTACTTCTAGAAAAAAAAAATCAGAGGTACCATAATCTAAATGTAAAGTGACCTTTATTTTAGAAATTAGAAAATAGAGGTGGATAGTCTGGAATTTTTACTGTTTCCAAGACCCTCCCAAAAGAGGGGATGGCTGTTTAGAACAGAAGAGGGTGGAGTGGCCTAGGACCTGCATCATCAGGCACAGCCAGTGGTTCTCAGCAGTGCTTACTGGGAGGCAAGCTACACGTCAGAACCAAAAGAAATGTGGAACACATATTTTAGAGATAACCTAAAATCTGCCCTAATGGCATTTCAACATCCTTACTCAAGCAAGAGGGAAAGGGGCAATATTGTACACAACCTACAGTTTACCCAGTATGTCTCCCATGTATATGGAGAGTCAGCTTGTATATCTAGGAGGGTGAAAGAAGAAAACCTGCTATCACTCATTTGATAGAGGAGAAAACTTAAATCCTGAGAGATTCAATGGCTTGTATGATCCTTCTGACAACTAACAAGTTCCATTTAGAGCCGACTTCTGCAAAGCTATTCAGTCTATAGACACTAGGAAGGAGAACTGTTGCCAGTCAGATATTTCTTCCAGTATTAATTAATACAATGACTTTCTGGTTAATAAAGTTTCGATGCTCCAGAACTCAATCCAGCAATTATACCGACAAAACCATTTCTAACTTGCAAAGCTGATGACACCTATACCACACAAACTCCACTAATGGGAGACCCCTGATGGCCTGTTTGAAGCACCTGCTGGCCATCTAGCACGATGAGAAAGTTCTGAGTTATATATAAATAAGCTGATTTATTCATTCACATTCTCTCCCGACTCCCTCTTCTCCCTTCGCCTCCCTCCTTTCTTCCTTTTTCCTTCCTCCTCCCCAATGGTATGCAGCAGGAGTCAGCAAACATTCTCTGTAAAAGGCCAGATAGTAAATAGTTTAGGCTTTTGGGGGTCTACCATTGTAGCACAAAAGTAGCCACAGACAATCAATAAATGAACGGGTTTGGGTGTGTTTCAATAAAACTACTTACAAAAACAGGCAGTGGGCCAGATTTGGTTCACAGCACTGTAGTTTGTCAACCCCTGATATGGAGTAGCAGTTCTCAAACTTTAGCCTGCATCAGAATCACCTACAGGACTTATTGATACACAGATTTCCGGGCCCTATCCTGAAAGTCTCTGATTCAGCAGGTCTGTAGTAGGGCCTGAGACTTTGCATTTTCAGTAAGTTCCCAAATGATACTGGCGCTGCTGGTCCAAGGGACCACACTTTGAGAACCACTGGTATAGAATAATGATCTATGATGCACTCGGTGGAAGGCTGAAATGTAATGAACAACTAGGAAAGTGGAAATTACATGTTGTAAACTTGACTGCCAATTTTATAGAACATTTTATATGAAGACTTACTGTTAAGTGCCATAATATTATCTGTTCCTGGATGATGGAAATTTATTCCCATGCGTCCTGAAAAAATAAAATAATTTTATTTTAAGCACAAAGAAAATAATACTTAATATAATCATTTCAAATACATTGTAAAATATGAACATTACAAAAAGCTACGACAGATTAATCTATAACAATACTATCAAAGACCACAGCACTTGCAAGAGTTTTTAAATCAAGTCATAAAACATACACACAAAAAAAATCTTAAAACAAAGCCAAAGTCTCAATAATAACAAATAAACAAAACAAAACAAAAAAGATGCTTCCATTATAACAGTCTGAAATTTTAACGCATCTTCTGCATTCCGATTTCAACATGCCAACTCCTTGGATAAAGCATTTTATTTAAACAACCATTCATACCGCTCTTCAAATTCAAGCAGCAAAATAATGAATTCAAAGAAGTATATAAACTTGAAGCTTAGAGGGGATAAAAAGATAAAGACTTCATAGTGGCTCAAAAATGCAACATAATTACCAGAATGGCAATAAGAAGAAAGATTGTAAAATTTATATAACAGATATAGTGGGGAACAATGACTGACCTAAAATGTAGAGTTCCTATGCTGCCCCCACCACTAACTAGTTACATGACCTTGGGCATAATGCTTGTGTCTCCAGACTTTTGTCCTTATAGGGGTCACAAACTTCATCTGCCCACATTGGCTGGCTGCCTATTTTTGCATGCCGCCAAGCTAAGAATTATTTTTACATTTTTAAAGAGCTGTAAAAACAAAGATAAAAACTAAACAAAGAATAATGTGTGACAGAGACCATATGGCCCACAGGTCTAAAATATTTGCTCTCTGGCCCTTTACAGACAAAGTTTGCCAATCTTTGGTCTCTAAGATGACAAGTCTGAATCAGATGTTTCAACTAATAGCCTCCAGGGTTAAGAGAAGATGTAGACATTTGGTATGTTTTTTCATTAATTATTTGGGAAAAGGAGGTTGATGTATCAAAAGAAAAACAAAACAGAGAGACATAGAGTGCTATATGAAAAAAAATGTACTTAGTGTGTTTTCTTGGCCAATTCCTTCAACAAAATAGTTATTGAAATAATGCTTTTGTGTAAAGCTGATTATCTATGAAATTGGCTCTGCAAGGATTTCATGTCCAATTATGTGAAGGGTTATCATGAAATTCTCAGAAAAATGTTAATTTTATGTCACTTACCATGGTTTAAATAAATAAATCAATAGTATTTTGGAGGAGAGTGATACAAAGAAAGCTGGAAATAAGGAAGAAGTGATTGACTTTTACAACAAATACAATGTTATATACAATTACAAAAGGTCAGTGACTATTTGGTATTAAACTCTGTTATGGAATACTGGAGGCAAACAGCATTATCATACTCTTCTGGCCCCAAAGAGAAGAATCACGGTGGACAAAATAGAGTATTTGCTTCAAATAAAAAGAGGGAATCATGAGGGGCCAGCCTTCTGGCCTAGTGGTTAAGTTTGGCATGCTCCACTTTGGCAGCTTGGGTTTGGTTTCCAAGCGTGGACCTACACCACTAGTCAGTGGCCAGGCTGTGGCAGCAACACACATACAAAATAGAGGAAGATTGGCACAGATGTTAGCTCAGAGCAAATCTTCCTCAAGCAAAAGAAAAAAGAAAGAGGGAATCATGAATTCCTAGTCAAATCAATTTTTTGCCTAGAGAAGGCCATCCTAATCTCTTAAAGACTCAGGTCTGGGCCAGCCTGGTGGCATAGTGGTTAAGTTGGGCACATTCTGCTTTGGTGGCCCAGGTTGGTGGGTTTGGATCCCCAGCTGGTGGGTTTGGATCCCAGGCGTGGACCTACACCACTTATCAGTCATGCTGTGGCAGCGACCCACATACAAAATAGAGGGAGATTGGCCACAGATGTTAGCTCAGAGCAAATCTTCTTCAGCAAAAAACCCCAAAAAAACCACAATTACTTGGCTGAATATAAAAAATTCTAAATCACTTTAAAAAACAAGGACCTTCAGGTCACAGTAATTTGTGAAAGGTCATTTCATATTAAGAGATAGGGAAAAAAATAAAACTCTCATAAGTGTAATGTTGCTTGTATTGATGAATGTGTGTGTGTGAGAGAGACAGAGTGAGTAATTAAGAATAGAAAAATCAACAATTGATGGATTCCATTGATCAAAACAATTCATGGATGAAACTATTCTAATTTTACCACGAAGCAGTACAGGACTTTCAATGAAAATTACTTTTAGTTTTTATTATTTTAAACTTCCTTACTAGGAGGAAGATGTTACAGCTATGTGTAGTTTTGTGGAGACTATTTTGCTAGCATTTATATTATAGTAAAATTCTTTTATAGAATATATTTTAATGTTTTCTATAGAAAATTATCATATTAGTAAAGAATCATCTCTTAAATGCCTATTTTATTTTTGAAAGATTTTGTAGATCTTTTTATATTTACAAGAAGCTAATTACTAGGAGGATCAAAAACTACCCATTGCTAAAAAACATTTTTAATGGTATCTGTATATGTAATTGCTCTATGTTTCTTATGTTTTTCCAGCTCCTACGTCATTTTAGAGTCCCTAAAAGTTACAGTCTACACCATATGCAACAAGTACTATCTCCTACCACCACCTTGGTCAGAACCTATTATAGGAAATTTTGTCACCAGAGCAAGGCTTTGATTCAGTTAGTTATATCAATGTTCTTTCCTTTATTATTTTCAGATGATCAAGAGCTTATTTGGATTTATTACCACCAAATACTAACAACTATGAAATTAGATGTGATCTACTCATCATATTCTGAGGTATTCAAATTTAACAGTAAATAGCCAGTCACTGGAAACTCTGCCTAAAAACCCAACAAGCATTCAAAATCAGTGCCTATCAGAACCTGAAGAAACAGCATATAGAGAGAGTCTCTTCAATTTTGACCAAGGAATATTCAGACGTGGGTGTGGTTCCTAAAAGCTAGGGATGTTCTCTAAACATTCTTGAATAAGAAAGAGTTATCAAGAAAACCAAGCAAGCCCAAATTTAGCTGATCCTCATTCAACTTCTTTTATTTCCTGTGCTACAATCATTTATGGTAAAGAATTATGTAGTTTACAATCACTACATCAAGTAATAGTTTTTGTATGGTTCCGGAACTACTTATGTTCCCAAACTGCTGCCCCTCTCTGCAGTCCTCCGGAAGTTGGATCCTTTTTGGACTCTTACAACGAGGTCTTAGGACTTTTCAGCCTGGGAGATGATACTAAAAAGAAGCTCAGTAGTTTTCTAATTATGATCTTCTATCCCACACTGATGACTGCCAATTCAATCTTTCTAAAGATGCAGTAAAACAAGAGTCTTAGGCAACGTTTTGTAGATGAAGGCATCACTATTTGCTGCAAAACAGGAAACTTTTTCCCTTTCCAGGTAACCTCCCTAATTCTGTTGGCTTCTTTGACTTCAACGAATCTCTTAATCAATATCATCAACAACAGATTTTATAAGAAACTCTGGGTCAATGCCAGATCCATCAGGACCAATTATTTAAGCACAATCTAATGTTTCCCAACTAAATGCAAATTCTTTTTAGTAACTTATGGCTTCTGTAAGCTACTTTCTTTACCTCTTCACAAATTAATGTTCAGATTATAAGATACAATACATTTTCATTGGATAAAAGCTAGACTATACAGAAAAACGAAGAAAACAAGACCACCAATCAAAGACAAGCTCTGTCAACATAATTTGATTTACGGTCTTCCAGTTTAGAGAAACTGGAAGTGTAAATAAGTGTAAAGGTTTCTTTTCTAAAATTGGAATTATTTTATAATTTTATTTTTTACTTAATATATTGTGCATCTTATATTTTACAGTTACTATGGAATTTTGGAGGAGAAAGAAAATATATAACAGCAAAAGAAAAACTAATTCCAAATTCAGATGAGGCCATTTCTTTTTTCTTTCTTTTGTCCAACAAATACTGCTGTTTAATCAGCTGTGAAAATAGAATCAAGTGTGTGACATCTGGTGATTTTTGTTAATGCAGTCTGGTGCTGCCAGCGTGACATTTTGTCACCCGTCCATGGTCTGCTATTTTTAAATTGTTCTTGTCAGCTAGCTATCTGTTAAGTATAGTGTAAAATATACGGTTTCGAAAACTGGAAGGCATACTTGGTTTTACTGAGTTAAATGATGCTGTGGAAACTGAAGACTGTGTCCCACTTTCCCCACTGCCCAGGGCCTGATAATGGGGGTGAGAGGGGATGGAGGGAGAGGTTGTAGAATAGGGTTACATAGGGTTTTTCAGACTGTAAAAATCACAGTCTCGTAAGCTCAATTCACATTTATATTTAAGAGGCTAGTTATAAAAAACTACCTCTCCTGTTGTTCAAGTTTCAGAGTCCAACTAAACTCATACTTTTATATGTCCAAAATAAAAACTGGAATTTTTATTAATTCATAATTATGAAAGTCACCTCTTCACTTCTGCAATATGTTATGATAGGAAACAACTGCTGTATCTTCCTCTAATAATCCCCATTTGCTCTAAAAAGTCAAGTCCTTCAGAGACCTTCACATAACAGAATGTGAGTGCTGTGTTCTAGAAAAAGCTATAAGAAAAAATGCATATTCTACTGGATTCTATTTCCCAACAATTTTCTCTATAAAGTTGAAGATATACTCCTTCAGAAAAAGTATGCACAAGATGCAATAATATGATATGTAAGAATACAATAAAATGGTGTTTTAAATCTTTCTTAAGGAAAAACAATAGAAGTTTGGTACTATAATATTCTAAGTATGTTCCAAAGAATCAAGAAGCAAAAGCTGTGAGCTTAGACCTGAGGTCATATCCTAGTTTCTTCTCATATGAATAGCGGATAATTTCTGGCATGTTATCAATTCCTTTGTGCCTACATTTACTCATTTCAGGCTGTCCTCTATAACAAATCAGAATTTCTGGACATAGTGCCCAGGATTAAAGTACACATAATCTTTTTCTTTTAAAACTCTCAGGTGATTATACTGCTATATTGAAAGGATCATTGGGCAAATTAATGGGAGGTACCTATTAAAAAAAATCACTCAGCTTCTATCTACTTTCCTCCCTTGCATAGATTAAGAACAATCATTTCTTGCTAACTCAGAACCTGTGCCCTAACAGTTTGTGGAATCTGCTAACTTTTATACAAGACAAACTGATAAGGGCCAAAGGGAGGCAGCACAAAAACAGAACTGGAGCAACGATTCAAGTAAGTAAAGAGACAGTATGTTTTTCTGGCACTAAATGTAATGAAGGTGTACTTTTTCTAAAACAAAGGAACCTCCACATTCCACAAAAGGGGCCAATTGTGTGAAAGGCTCTATAATACTAAATTTAAATTGTGATAAATAAAGACAAATGCCTCTATAACACAAAAGGGGTGGCATTGATTCCTTCCAAGTTTCTGTCAATTTAAATGTTTTACAGTACTATCATCAGAAGATAGCTATTTTTTCCCCAGATTCAGTATAGATTTGAAAAGCAAACTCTTCAATATTAGTTCTCAACTGACATCGCCTCTTTTCAGTTTTCAAATTTCAGTTCCATGAATGGCAAAGGAAAAGAAAATTCAAATATATAAAAATGTTTCATCAGGCATTAACCCTCAAGGAGTCAGCCAACTTCTGTCGTAAGAGGGAGACTGCATGGGATGAGAGACGGGTGACTCCTTCCTGCTTTTTGCCAAGATGTCTCCTATATTGTGCTACCCCAGCCAGGGGATCAATCCTTGCTTCACAATGTCACCTACACTGCCCAATCCACTGTGGCTAGTATTTCCCTATTATTCTGCTCTCTCGTCACTCTGTACCCTTTGAATATTAATCCTAAAGGAGGGGTTGATTAGTCAAACCCAGGGAAGCTGGTTTTTCACGGGGATTCCCAGTGGCTAGGTGAACCCTCCTTATTGGTAGCAATTTGGAGGACAGCTGTAAAGAGGGTATGGAGATGAACCTTTTTCCCTACCTCTTATCCCACCTCTCCCAGTGCCAGAAATCCTCTTAATCTTCATAGTTATGATGAGAGTTGGATTTCCCTTCAGTCCACTAGAAAAGAGGGCAGAGAACAAATCCTCCCACTCAGGCCTCAACTCATACCTCTACCAACCCACGGAATTCTGTACTTAAAAAAGAAATAAGGGGCAGTTTTCATTAGTCCATTGCCCCTCTCAAAACCCTCCTCATCTCTCAGAAGCATTCTCTCAAACAAACAATAGGAAAAGAAATGCATAAGATATGGTAAGAGACAACAGGTAATGATTAAATTGTTATTGTTAGAACCAAGAATGTAGTTTGAGATCTTTAAGAAGCTGGAAAAAAAAATTAGTCTAATTTTTATTTAAATGAGGGTTCTGTGATCTGACCAATAACACAGAAGACAGTCCTCAGGGTGCTGTGAAGAAAGCTCAGTTCAACTTTTCCTCTACATTACTTGACATTTTTATCATGGGGGAGGAGATAGGGGACCTTTTAAAATTCCCTACAAACATCTTCAAGGCTGACCTAGTACAAATATAAATAAACGTGATAGGAAAAACTGTCAAAGCTCTGTACTAAAATAGAAGTCTTATTATTTCCTAAACTTCTTATTCTGTCATTCCTCCCACTAACCCTTTTTTTCTCCAAATCAAGAGAATAGTTGAATAAAGGGATTTCTTACTAACTGCATTTCTAAGATGTCATATCACTGTGAACACATTTTCACCAAGTTCACTTTAAGTACATCATGAAGTACTTTATTTTTCATCAGTGTGCTATCCTATTTTATTATACTTTCTTTACATTATTCAGATATACAATTTTAGAAAGCCAACATAACTTAGGAGGATTAGTTTTCGTTCTCCTTTAGGTGGTTTTTGATAATAATAAAACGTTTATCCTTCAATAGTCACTATTTCTCCAAGGCAAATACAAAATTTGACAACTTGCATTTGAAAGCTTTCAACATTTAGCTGCAGCCTAGCTGGAAGGAAGTAAATATTGTAGGGATATAAAGGTTTAATTTATTACCCAGGCCAGGCAGTAGGCACACCACTACCACTGCCAGCAAAGAAAATTAAAGATAACATTTGAGCAGTTCTAAAAGTGTCAGGGAGTTTATCTGACCTTCACACCCACTCTATGAAGTAGGTGCTTTATTTTAACAATGAGGACACTAAGGCTTTGAAGAGGCTAACTAATTTATCTAGATCAATAGCCAACTTGAGGCAGAGCCAGAATTCAAACTCAGGTTTGAATGACTGCAAAGTCAGAAAGGCTCAGTTAAAATTTTATCTCCTGTACAGAGAATATAAAACGTCTGGAAGAATGTTAATAAAAATAATAATCTTTGCTATCTCCAGGTAGTAAGTCTCAGGTGATTTTTTCACTCCCTTATCTTTTTATGTAGTATTTGAACAAAATCAAGCTCGGGGCGGGGGGGGGGGGGGGGGGGGGGGGGGGGGGGGAGGGACACACAAGCATACAAAAAACAAATGACTCTGTAACCTGAGTTTGGAGACCCTCAAAATAGTGTTCCCATGTTCAAGTGGGAGAAGAGGACACTAAAGGCAGGAGGAAAAAATACAATAGAGTTCTAGAAGGAAGTGCTTCTGGACAGATTCAGACAGAAGCCACACAGTAAGTCCCCTAGCCTATCACCTTTCTATTAAAGCTCAATTCACCTAGCTGTTTACATCTTTTAACCCAGAGAACCTCTCTACGAATTTACCTTAAGGAAAAGCTATGTGCAAGAACTTGTCCGTGGCAGCATTACCTATTACGAAAAAAATGCTGGAAGCAGTCTAAAAGTCTAAAGTTAAGGCCTATTAATAAATTATAAAGACCAGATAAAAACAGATAATATTCATTATGTGGGAGGTAAAACAATAAAGGATATACCATCACAATGTTTCTTTTCTTTTTTTAGTTATCTTTTTGTTATTATAATTTTCTCCACTTTTTAAAGTCAAAAATTACTTAAAATCTTTCCTTTAAAATGCTAGCATCATAATTATGTTATTAGAAGTCATAAGGACCAAACACATGGTACCATAAACCAGATCTAAAAGTCTCCCAGTTGGAAAAGAGAAGCAGGAAACAGAGGACACCCTAACCCTAAGCAGAGGACAATGATAGGGTGATGTCATTGACCATGGGAAATAGTCCATTCACAGGAAATCAATGTGGGTGGTATGATGAACTGAGAAGTTGCAATCATACTGAGGCTGTAAAAAAGTACGTAATAAGTGCCTTCCAACTTATTAGAATACATTATATCTGTAAGTACAGTGCAGAAGGCTCTTACAGATGAAACTTCACATTTGCAAGTGTAGTGGAGAAATTTCTGCAGAGGTAGTTGGACATCCAATAAAAAAAAAGGGGCCACTAAAAATAGAATAAGGTATTTACATTACCCCATAGCGAGGTACCCTCCTCACACTTTGCCATTGCTAGTCTCAAAAGGGCACAAATATTTCCTGCTTAAATCTTCACAAAATTCCGGAAAATTATTTTACAAACTATAATCTAAGATCCTTTCACAATCTTTCATTGCTAGAAGAAAAGAATACAGAGCACAATAAAACCAGTATGCATAGAGAACAAGGGCTGAATATTTTAGAATAATTAAGAGAGGCTTATAGCTGTTCGTGGTAGAGAAGGAAGATAAATGCAGCCTTCCAAGATACTAAAAACACAAAACAGTCTGTGAAAATCATTGGTTTTTTTTTTTAACACCACTCTCACTTCTAAGAAAGACGAGGTAACGGTGACTAAATATAACAATGAATAAATGAGAGGTTTTTTTCTACTTCTGAAGGCCTTAAAATATAGCTTTTCTCAAAATCCTTTATCTTCTTCATAGCCTGTTAACTACTTTCTTTTCACTGGAAATTGAAGAAAGCAGCAGAAAATCATGAGTGTGACAAGAAAATGATGAAATGAATTTCTGATGTGGCTTGAGGAAATGACTATCAGGTGTTCACGGTCAGTCATACCCTATATAAGAGCCTGGAGAGAACCAGAGGGGATCAAATTCCTCACAACTCAGGAGGGCATAAGGGTTCATACAAGATGGGCATCCCTGTGGCTAATGCTTCACAGTTTTCAGATATTTAGACTCTAAACCCAAGTATAGTGGATCTTTCCACAGAAAATTTTCACTACACTATTTTAAAATATCATAGGGACCCTAACAAGTCCTATAACCCATTAAAAAGAACTATCTGTAATTATGAATGTAACATCAGCCTCTATCCTGAATTTACATGGGCTCTAAAAATAGGAAGTCCTAAAACTGCTGACATTGGGACTTTCTGCCTTATATTTAACCCAAAACGTTTATACACTTTAAGACATTTTCCTTGTGTTTTATCCTTAGAGACTGCAAAGGATCACTGGAGGCTCTTAAGTCTGTGTAGTGATACTTCCTCTACTAGGAAAGTAATAATATTTTAATAAAATGGAACACTTTTCTATGAAGATTTCTGCAGCAGTCTTTGGAAACTGGCTTACCAAATTTCTTACTTCCTTGCAGCATGCTTGGACTTAAATGAATTATCCAGGTTCAGCTAAGGATTCCAAATGCACAAAGCCAAGAAAACCTGGTTTCTGGTCATGCTATAACCATGACCTCAGCTACCCATCACATGCTTCTGCCAGACATTATGATTAAAGCAATCAACCTTGATTATTGTAGGTAGCTGAACCCAGGTTAAAAAAAAAAAAAAAAAAACAACTTTAAATACATTCCACAATGCTTTACAGAAGCAAACAAAAACAAACAAACCAAAACAAAAGAAAATAACAATTATTAAAAAGCTGATTTTTGTTTAAAACACCAAGCAAGGAATGGACATATGAATATTCCTAACCTGCAAAATGATTCCTCCACATTATATCAGCGAAACTCATTGGTGGGCCACTGGGAGGGTAGTGTTTACCTTTCAGAGGCTCATGATCAGTCCTTATCATATCCATTAAGGAGTTCTCCAACGAGTGCAAGTTAAAAGTGTCATAGGGCCTACTCCGGTCCTACAAATGAAAACAGAGAACAAGACAATACATAAAATTACTTCACAAAATTAATACCATATCCTTTGCTTCTTGCCATGGATTGATGACATGAATCAAAGTTCCAGATAGTTCTAACAACACAGTCATTATTTTCATTAAGAATAATGACTTGGCAACATTAAGTTTAACACAAGTTCCCATAATTAATGAAATTGCATCCTTTTCCTTAATGTACTTTAATGTATACGTCCCACTACTCCAGACTGACTTTCTCTCAAATGAACTAAATGAAGTAAATTCAAAAGGAAGAGTCAAGAGAATTGGCTTTGCCCTCAGCCCTACACCCCCTGCCTCCACTGTCAAATGAACAGAGAGGTTTTTTTCTGGAGGAAGACCATGATTAAGAACACTCAGTCTAAGAAGAGAATCACTTTCCTGAAAAATAAAAAGATGACTGTAGTTTCAATGTAACTTTATTGGGTATCTTTCATGTTTACTGCCAATAAGTTCCATACATTAGATACACTTTATAAAAATTAAAACGTGTCCAAAGTACTAAAATTACCTTTTGAAAGGTACTCACCTGAAAAAACTTTAACCCAAGGTAGTGTTTTCATGATATTAGATTCAAAAACACTTTGAAATTAGAGAGCTAATGCAAACTAAGTGAAGAACAAAATAACTGTTCCACCACATTTCACTCAAGCCCATGGGAGACCATCACCTAAAAATTATTTTTAGTAGTGTGAGCCTAAAAGGAAAGGCAGCTTATGGCCTAACTTAATACTGTAGGACAGATTTAGTTTGCTTTTGTTTAAGAAAAGCAAGACAACCATTCAACCACATCAAATCAAACTACAGCAATGAGACATTATTTTCAGACTCTTAAACAGCATATCCAACCTTGCAAATAATCACTTATCCTCTCCTGTGAACAAGAGAACTAACAAAATGACTGCCTAGATGAGCAAAAGGGGATACAACAGGTAAAAACCTCAGCTACAGTGACAATTTTCTAGGTTCAGTCTTAACTCTTGGGCAGTTTTCTTCTGGTTTCTGGCAAGCATGGCTGTATACCTATCCAGGGAAGCAGAAAGGAAGGTGGCATTTCCTCAGCACTGAGCATAAATGAGGAACTCAGAGGGTTATTGAATGAATAAATGCAGTATGTACACACACAGGTCCTAAAAGCCCTGAACTGAGAATCAGGAGGCAAGAATGCCAGAACAACTAGTCAATTGGGTACATTATGATCCACCTCTCCAATCTGTGCCTGAAATGCCTCCCTTTATACAAATGAGAGGATTGAGAGAGATTATTTCTAATATCCCTTACAATCCTATACTTTTTTTTTTTTTTTTAACTCAGAGATGAAGAGTAGGTGTGGAGGGGGCAGATGTTTTCAAATGCCACAAAGAGAAATTCCATTTCTACAAGCCCTTAATGCACGAGTCAAGGGCCAACTCCCCTACTAGGCCCTGGTGATTCAGAGATGAATGTTATAACCTAGTCCCTGTTTGCAAGTATTTAGTAGAGAGAGGGAGACATAATCAATTAAAATAAGAGCATGACAGGTGTTTTGACAGAGGAATGTAAACAATATAATGGAAAGTAAGTCACATCTATTTCTTAAAGAACATCCATTTGTGTATGTGTGTAATTTTTTTTCCTTTTTGAAAAATCACATTCTATAAAGTCCTAGGTGTCTGGAATCTGAACCTGCCAATTGACCACGTATGAGGCTTGTCTTAGTTATTCTCAATGTCCTCAGTAACCTCATTGGTAAAATGGGATCTTACCTGTGAGGATTACATTGAAATTACCCAAGTATTTATTTTACTCACATTGTGTTTGCCAAAGAGTAAGTAGTCAACATTTTTAAGTTTACTGCTGTCACCTACTTTCTACTTCAACCCCATTTTTTTCTTTATAACACTCCTCAGTTATCTGTCTCTACTATTGGATAAAAAAAGAGACATGGAATATTTTCTTTGGTTCTCCATTTTGGTCTCTATCTAATTCAAGGTCTTATCTTTTACCTTTAAGGTCTTCCTGCAGATCATTTGTTTTGCTTTGGGTTCACGTTATCAGTGGAAACTCTAATTACTTAAGGAGTAAAACTGAATTCCCAGAACTGCAGGCTTATCTGTTCCTCTAAGAGGTATTGTAATTTTTGTCCAAAGAAAAAGCCAGGGGTAGGAAAGTGTGCTGATGAGGAGGTAAAATGACAACCTACTTCGGGCACTGACAATCCCAGAATGATTGTCTAGGAGCCTTCTATCATATATATCCATACTTCCAACTAGAGCCCTGCAAAGTGGGATTGTTTCAAAACAGGCTGATAAGGTGAAGGGACTATAAGAAATGGCTGTCTGAAGGCATTCAAGAATCTTTCCAGCCAAGACAGTTTATTTGTTTTCATTTTTTAATTCTTAATATAATCCTTCAAGGTAGATAACAACATACTCATTTTACACAAGAGGAAGATGAGATTCAGAGAAGATTCAAGCCTGGATCTGACCTCAAACTCAGTACCTAGGGAGTATAAAAATCTGTCCAAAGAAGTTGATCCAATCCATATGGGATAGTAAATGAAAGCTCTATGTAAGTGTTGCATCTAATTACTGATGAAATGACCTTCCTGGCAAGGAGGTAGTGAGTTCCTGTCAGAAAATAGTATCAGATATTAGATGATTACCTGTCAGGAAAATTGGAGGGGATGTTTGGAGGGGTATTCATGTATCCGAAGTGGTTCCCAAATGTGTCAGATTGTCGAAATCACATGTAAAATGGTTAAAACGCAGGTTCCTGGGCTCCAGCTAAAACCAATTTAATCATAATTTAAAAAGGAATAAATGTCCCAGGTGATTCCTATACTAGCTAGATTTGAGAGCCACTAGATTGAATGATTCTTCAAGGTAAGCCTTTACATCCATGAATCTGATCAGTGAAAAGGGACAACAAAATGAGGGAAGGGACTAGAAGGATAGCAGCAGGAAATAAACAAGCCTGGTCAGCTTTGCAGTCTTTCAATTGATTGTGGGTTAGAGAAGCAGTTTGTGGCCTGGTTTTTAAAAGCACAAATTTTGAAATCAAGCATCTGAGTTTCCTGCCACTTGCTATCATGTCACTCTGAAAAAATTCCTAGGCCTTGGTTATCTTCATCTATAAAATGAGAGTGACAATAATTCCCTCTTTATAGTTGTTTTCAGTACTAAATGAAAAAATGTACAACAAGGCATTTGCACAGTGCTGGCTACTGGAATATTAGGGAGAACACAAAGAGACTTCTGAGATGCCACCTCAGAGAACTGGAACATAGATTTAAAAACCTAGGGGTTCAGGGATGCTAACTTAACAGGGTTCACCAGTGAACAGATGAAGACATATGGTGTGAAATGTACAACACAATTTGCACAAGCTTCTTAACTGAACAAACTTCAGTGCTGAGAAACTTATTTTCTCACTAAAATGAATTCTATCTATGCCTCATCAATTTATATTTGCTGCATACTATTCATCCTTTTTGTTTTACAAATAGTAAATGTCGCTGAAATAACTGATTAACCAGAAAGCCTGCAAGAAATAGAAAAAAGGATAGAAAAACTTAAAAATTTGCAGTGAAATTCAATGGAAATTACTCATTGAGAAAACAAGACCACAGTTTATCATTAAACGACAAAAGTTAAGAGTGACAACTAACCTTTTAAGCCTTTTTTTCATGTTTTGTTTCCTGATATAGGGAAAATAAGGAAAACATCTTTTTTTATTTGTTTTTAACAAGCAAACACACCAGGAAGTATTAGAACATTTATAAACAATGCATCCCATTATAGACTCTTTTTCTCTGAAGATAACCAATGACAGATGTTATCCGTTAGTTGTACATAGAGGCAGCCCACTCCTACTGTACAGTTCATTAGCCCTGCTTTCTTTCTTCCCCTAGCTTGACTTAATATTAACAAATTTATCAAGTATTTAATATGTGCCTGGCACTGTTATAAGCACGCTAAATACATTCTCTACAACTCTATGACGTAGGTAACTTTTATCCCCATTTTATAAATTAAGCAATTAAATCTTAGAGAGATTAAGTAACTGGCCCAAGTTTACAGAGCTGGTAAGCGGCAAAGCCAGGGCTAAAACCCACTCAAAACCAGACTATACTCTTAAGGACACTCACTGCCTCCCTAACTTCCTCCTACCCCTTCCGCCTTAAATCCTTTTCACAAACACCCCCTTCAACATAATCCTGACACAATCATAGAGAGAGAGGCCTCTTTGACCCTACCCTGCCACTCAAGCAACCTAACCCTCATTTGCCCTTGGTCAATTACCCTTCTTCAACTGACAACTAGTTAAACTCAAGAAGTAGCTTGATCTACGCTCCAGCACAGCCCAGGCCTGCCTCTACCATCCCTGTCTATTCGCTTGCATTTTTCTTGGGAGAAAAATTCAGAACCCTTTTCTACTCTTTCTGGTTTATCCCCAGACATTTCTTCTCCTAGAGATCAAGGCAGAAGGCTGCAAGGGGCCAAGCATCTGACAAAAAAGCAGCTCTGGAACCAAACTATAAAATTAATCATGGTGCCTACTATGTGCCAGGTACTGGGCTAAACGCTTTATAGCCATGGTCTCAATCCTCACCACAACCCTGCAGGGTAGGCATTATCTTCATTTCACAGAGGAGAAAACTAAAAGGCTCATAAAAGTTATGTAACTGCTTGTCACATAGCTGGTCAGAAATCAGGATGTGAACACAGGTCTGTGACTTTCAAGTCCACGACATAATATTCCAATGCTTCTACACTGGTCAGTTATTGTGCATCCCATGAACAACAGGGGCTTGTCTGGGAAGAAAGGGGCACAGGCAACATCAAAAATCAAAGGTGGGTAGATGTTTGAAAGGGCTAGGAAAGGATAAACGGGGTCATGAAATAATATAGAAAAACAAGAGGAATTCCCGAAGGAAAGTTTTTCTATTTATCATATGGCTTCAACGTATGTATAGATAAAAC